AAGGACGTATTGTATTGGCCAAATCTACTGCAAAAGACCTCTGTAAAGTGCTAAAAAGCAAAGATGTCACTTTGAGGACTAACTTGTGCCTGACACAAGCCATGGTATTTTCAATCCCTTCATCTGCATGGGAAAGCTGGACAATGAATAAGGAAGACTGAAGCAGAATTGATGCCGTTAAATTATGGTGCTGGGGAAGAATATTGAATATACCATGGACTGCCAGAAGAACGGACAAGTCTGTCTTGGAAGAAATACAGCCAGAATGCTCCTTGGAAGCGAAGATGGCAAGACTTTGTATCAGGTACTTTGGACGTGTTATCAGGAGGGTCCAGTCCCTGGAGAAGGACATCATGCTTGGTAAAGTAGAGCGTCAGCAAAGAAGAGGAAGACCCTCAACGAGATGGACTGACACAGTGGCTGCAACAATGGACTCAAACATAGCAAGGATTGCGAGGATGGTGCAGGACTGGGCAGGGTTTTGTTCTTTCGTACACAGGGTCACTGTGAGTCGGAGCTAACTTGAAGGCACCTAAGAACAACGTACACTAGATGCTAAGATCGTGTGTGTGTTCGGAATATCAATAATTTGTGCATTAGGTGTTAATATCAGCACAGATACACACAGACCCAGAGACAAATGTAAGCATTGAAGAGTAATGAATACCTTTACTGTGAGGCTGATGTTAGCTCTGTTTGTTGTATGAACAGCTTTTGAGAGTAATTACCATTTTCCCTGCGCCGTATCTGTTTCATTTGACACATGCCTGTGTGCAGCGTATGTTTTCTCCGTGCAGACGGGTATGAATAGCTTTGTTCTCTTTTCAGTCTGGTCTATGAACCAAAAACCGTAATTATATCCAGCCGTATATCACTATTTTCGTTTTCATTTTGCTTTATATTTGATCCCAATTGTCATTTTCCAAAACATTTGAAAACAGCATTTAAAAGTCTTAAAAGAGGAAGCAGCGAAGTATAAAATCAGTACATCAGTATTTATGTTATCAAAACCGAAATTTCAACCACTGGTAGAGTTCTCTTTTTGTTAAAAAAAAAAGCATGCTTCCCAGTTTATTTTCTTAAATGATTAGAAATGTGAATTTGACTAGAAATAAGAGCTCTTACCCTTGTGTTTTTCTAATTTCTCTCCATAGTTTTAAGAAAGAGATAACTGGAATTTTTTGTAGCTTTTATTTTGGAAGTAAAAATTTTGTTTTATAAAGCAACATGCCTTTTCATAAGGTTTCTATTCCTTTCAAAAGGATACTTAATTATTGGGATAATTTATTAATGGGTTAAATAAAAGTTTAAAAAAGAAAATATTTATGAAATCACCCTTAATCCTATCAGGCTATCAAAGCTAATTTTCCCAAAAGGAATGTATATGTGTGTATTTGTTGCATCTCCCTCAAGCATATAAATAACAATTTGGACTCCTTATATATATGTGTGTGTGTGTGTATATATATATGTATGTATATATATATATATATATTTTTTTTAAGAAATAAAGGTTGCTTTCTGAGAGGCCTGTGATCACATCCCCACCGTTTTATGTTCATTTGATTATGTTTTACCTGATGGAGAAAAGAAGCACTTGCTGTTCTTACACCAGACGAGTGGTTCAGGTCTGCATTCTCTACCCATGGTGTTCACCCAGTTACCCCTGGACCACCTTCCTCCATGCCTCCCCAACTGACCCTCCGGGGGTGCTTGAGGGCACTGGTGACCAGGTGGAGGCAGCAGCCTCACTTTTTTAGTTTACCTGCCCATTGTCCAGTGCCAATTTGGGGTGTGAATACATTGGCATTTATTTTTTCCTTAATGATTTCTATGAAATAGGCCTTAATCCAGTCACACATAATTACTTGCGTTTCTATGGATTCCGGGAGTAAGGGCTTGCTAGCAAGTAAAACAGATGTTGGTCAGAAGGCTTCATCAAAGATGGGTGTATGGTGTTCATCACCCAGAGGTGCTCCTTGTCTGAACAGAGGCAACCCCTGGGAAGCAGATTATAATCCACTGGCTTAAACTGTGCCAGACCTTTCTCCTGGGAAACCTGCTTTAACCTACTTATAGAATGGAAATGAAATAAAAGATGTACTTTTGAAAAGTTTTCTCTAATTTGGAATTTTAAGAAATTCAAGCCTTCCTGAGGAATAGTCGGCCAGCCTTGGTAGGAGTGCCTAGTGGTCAGTCTTTCAAGTTGGTTTAATCCGAGTTTTCTTCTGAGATGTTTCAGTAGTGGTCCTGCTAGGTGTAGCTCCGGAGACTCCTTCTCCCCTGAGCATTTGTCTTGCACCTTCTCGTTTCATCTTCTTCACTGTGACTCAGCACAGAAACAGCTGTGAGAGGAAATTGAGAAATGTACAAACATCTCTATCTAATTACACCCTAGAGGAAAACATGAACCACATTCAAAATGTATTCTCCACTGAAAACCCAGCCCAAAGGGTGTGGGATGCAGGAGCCACAGAAAACTCAAGAGTTGTCTCCTCCTGAATGAGGGCCTGCCCGGCAAAGCCAAGAAGCTGACGAGCCCCATTCACAGCCCAGCATGATGGAAAATAGAGGCAGACCTGTGCACACGCAGGGATCTTATCTGTTCCCTGATAGTAAAATGAGTGGATATTTTGATATGGCTTTTTCTGACCTCAGTGTATGGACTTATTTTTCAGGAAAAGTCATTTAGATGTGAGGCCGTTATCAAACACTGCAAATTGTCTGGAGTGGGCTACTGAAATTAAAGTTCTCCATTTGCAGTGGGTTATATTTCATGCCACGTCTCAGCTCGCTGCTAGACATCCAGTGTCACCTAAACTCAGAGCAGCCCTGAGTGTCTTCTCCACAGGGAAGCCATGGGCGAGCCAGTGGGAAAGGGCAGATGAACACTGTGCCTGGGTAGAGATTTAAATTCGCCTCATATTATAGGGTCACGATGTGCTTTTAGCTTTCTTCCCAGTCAATATGCTGATTTTGAGGAAGGTGCCTCTTAAACAATTTAAGCACCTTTAAAATGTTTTAAGCATTTATTCTACTTTGTTTTTGAGCGATGTGAAATTGTACCAGCAGAAACTGGTGTAGTGAATACAATTTCTGTCCAATCCCCTTTTGTAAGGAGCAGTGGAATACGTTGAGATGGAAAGGGTGTGCTCCCGAGGACATGCTCATAGCTTGAAATGGTGGTCTTCTATTGGTCTTACATCCCAAGAGGCTGAATGGCCATCTGGTCCAGACTGAGGGCAGGGAGCTCCACCCCACAGAAGCAGCGTTGACTGAGAGGGACTTTGGGACACATCTGGGTTGGACAGATTAGGATGGGCAACGCTATTTCTGCAGGTTTCCTTTTTTTAAATACAAAGTTATGTAGGTGCTTAAAATTTCAAATGATGGACAAATCATGTTCTGACCATCAAAATACGGTGGAGCATCATCAAAGTGCTCTGCCTGGATAGAGCGTTCAAACTGAGGCCGTCTTCCTCATGTTGCTGCTAGCTGCTGTCAAGTCGATTCTGACGCATGGCAGCGCCACGTGACAGAGTAGACTTTGCCCGTGAGGTTTCCTAGGCTGTAATCTTCATGGGAGCAGCTCCCCAGGTCTTTCTCTGGTGGTTTTCAATGACCAACTTTTCAGTTAGCAGCAGAGCTCTTAACCACTGCACCACCAGGGCTCTTTATCATGACGCAAAAATGTTGAGGGGTCACTCTTCTATCACACAGGCCACGCTAACTCCAAATTCTCACAGAACCAGAAGCTCTCCATTCAGACATTCATGTTTAAGAGAGAGTCAAAAGGAAGGAAAACACGGGTTTCTTAGGTTATGACGACATTTAACAATAAAAATTCTAGGAGTGTCCTGATTTTGTTTACTAGCCTTTTATTCCTTCTTTTCCGCCAACAAGGATCATTCTGGAACTCGGCGTCCTTCCACACAGAGACCTCCTACCTGCACTTCCCTACTTTCCACGGAGAACTTAGTGCCGACGTGTCTTTCTTTTTCAAGACGACGGCCTCGTCGGGGGTGTTTTTGGAGAACCTGGGCATCACCGACTTCATCAGCCTGGAGTTGCGCTGTGAGTTCCCAGAAAAGTCCGAAGGGCACCCATCGTCAAGTAATCATTGAGCACACTTGAGGTGGTTTCGTGTCTGCCGAGGTCGGGTGCCTCCTATATCAGTCCTGTCTTCACTAGCTCACTTCTAGACCTGAAATCCGGCGAATCCCACTGACTAGCTTTAAAAGAAGAGAATCCATGTGTGCTTGATAATGTACTTGACATCCTATGGAAACCTCCTGTCCTCACCAGGACCAGTTAAGAAAACTTGACTGAGTGTAGACAGTGTTTCAAATCCAACTAGCTATTCAACAAAGCCGTCACTGAGTTCCAAATCCTTTGACTGCACTAAGCTTTCCTGTGTGTCCCTGGCCCCCGCCGTGTGCTTATAAAACTATGAGAAGTTCTGCTCTAAGTTCTGCATATGAATCCAGATGTTTTCTGGTTCACTTGCCACGGGTAATTGTCCCTCCAATTCAGCACTTAGCAATAAGAATACTAAATTCTGAGCTTACATTTCTTAAAATCAGTATTTTTCCCATTGTAAATTAACTTTAGGGGTTCCTGGGTGGTGCAAACATTAACATGCTCAGCTTCTAACCGAAAGGTTGAAGATTTCAAATCTACCCAGAGGCACCTCAGAAGAAAGACCTGATGATCTACTTCTGAAAAATTAGCCACTGAAAACCCTATGGATCACAGTTCTACTCTGACACACATGGGGTCACTGTGAGGTGGGGTTGACACAACACATTTTTTTTTTTTTTTTAGTTAGCTTTACCTTCCCATCCTACTTGAAATGGTGGTCTCCTGGTTGGTCTTATATCCCAAGAGGCTGTATGGCTGCTCAATGTCACGGCTCCTCTCAAGCCCTAAGGACAGAACTGTGCCCTCTTCACGGTCTTTGCTGAGGATGCTCCTCCCGTGCATGCCCAAGGTCCAGTCCTCTCTCAGGAGATAACTTCCATGTCTGATGTTGCAGCCCCCACGAAGGTGGCCTTCTCTTTCGATGTGGGAAACGGACCCTGTGAGGTTATGGTTCAGGCGTGCAGTCCCCTCAATGACAACCGGTGGCACCTCGTACATGCCGAGAGGAACACGAAAGAGTCATCACTGCAGGTGGACTTGCTCCCACGCGTGGCACAATCTGCCCCCACTGATGGGCATGTGCTGCTGCAACTCAACAGTCAGCTCTTCGTGGGTGAGTCTGCCCTGGGGCTGACACGTTGGTCCCACGGCTTGTGTACCCTCAGCCATGGCTACAGAGAAAACAAGACGAATGGTAAAAACAGCCATGATAGCATGTCATTGTTATTAACCAAACCAAAAACCCATTGCCGTGGAGTCAATTCTGACTCATAGCAACCCTATAGGATAGAGTAGAACTGCCCCAAAGGGTTTCCAAGGAGTGTCTGGTGGATTTGAACTGCTGACCTTTTGATTAGCAGCCAAACTCTTAACCACAAAGCCACCAGAGTTTCCTTGTTGTTGTTAGGTGCCAAGAAATTGACTCCAACTCATGGAGACCTATGTATAACAGAACGAAACATTGCCTGGTTGGTCCTCTGCCATTCTTATGATCACTGGTATGTACGAGTTAAGGCTTCAAACCAGTTCTTCCTGGTTCAGCTATGGCCAACAGAGCAAAACTCAAACAGACCCAAATTTTTTAGATGTGGGTGAACCAGAATGGGAAAAATTACAGGTCAAAGCCCTGCTAGACACTTATTATCCACCTTAGTAAACAGGGACAGCATGGGCATTGGATAGCAACCAAATCTCTTGACTGATGAGTCAGAAACAGCAGTGCCCCACTCAGAGATGGCTGCTGACCACACCACTTTGAATGTGTGTCGCGCTCCACAGTCTTGGCAATAATCCAGTCTCCTGCATCAGGCCCCTGAAAGAGCTCACCACACCTCTTCCAAGTCTCCCATTCCAGGGTTTTGACCCATAATTTTTCCCTTTCCAGTTATCAGTCTGCTTCATCCAAATTTTAAAAATTTTGATCTATTCTGATTTCACTTCATTGGCCATGACTGAACAAGTTAGAACTGGTTCGAAGCCCTGGTATGAGTCCTTTGTTTCGGCCACTGTGTCAGTCCATCTCATTGAAGATTTCCCCCATTTTTGCTGACCCTCTAGTTTACAAACATGGTGTTCTTTTCTAGTAATTGGCCTTTCCTGATGACATGTACAAAGTAAGCAAACTGAAGTCTTGTCATCCTCATTTCTAAAGAGCGCTTTAGTAGTATGAATTGAATTGTGTCCCCCAAAAAGTATGTCAACTTGGCTAGTCCATGATTCCCAGTATTGTGTGATTGTCCACCATTTTGTCATCTGATACAATTTTCCTACGTGTTGTAAATTCTACCTCTATAATATTAATGAGGTGGGATTAGTGGCAGTTATGTTAATGATGCAGGACTCAATCTACAAGATTAGGTTTTGTCTTTAGACAATCTCTTTTGAGATATACAAGAGAGAAGCAAGCAGAGAAATGGGGGAGGGGAACCTCATACCACCAAGAAAGAAACACTGGGAGCATAGCTTATCCTTTGGACCCGGGATTCATGCGCTGAGAAGCTCCTCGACGGGAAGATTGATGACAAGGACCTTCCTCCAGAGCCGACAGGGAAGAGAAAGGCTTCCCCTGGAGCTGATGCCTTGAATTTGGACTAGACAGTGAGGGAGTAATTTTCTCTTTGTTGAAGCCATCCACTTGTAGTATTTCTGTTATAGCAGCACTAGATAACTAAGATAGGTAGTCTTTCTTCTAAAACTGGTTTGTTCATTTTTCTGGCAGTCCAGAGTATACTCAGTATTGTTCACCAACACCACAATTCAAATACATCAATTCTTCTTCTGTCTTCTTTCTTCATTCTCCAGATTTCGGTGCATATGAAGCAATTGAGAAGACCATGGCTTGGGTCAGGCGCACCTTAGTCATCAAGGGGTATATAGTCATTTGGGGTGTATAGTCATCTTTAACTTATCACTACTTTCAAGCAATATTATCCTACCCCTGGTATAGGTGACATTATGCTACGGCTTGTATAGTTTAGGAAACTTGCAACAGTGTCTTCCGTTTCTCTCCTCCCAGCTTGTGTGTCTTTGTTGTTACACACAGTGTTTCTGCAGGTGTCACACACCTCAAAACACGTGGTTAGTACTTTTTCTTAAAGTAGTCAATTAAATTTTAAATAGATTTAATAACACTAACATGTTTTTATATTTTACCGACATAATAATCATTTATGGGAACCTTCATGGTTTTTTTTATGTAGATCTAGATTTCCCATCTGGCAATCCTTCTACTTGAAAGATTTCCTTATATATTTCTTATATATTTTCTTATATATTCACAAGACTGTTGGTGATTAATTTTTTTGGCTTTTATTTATCCGAAGAAGCATTTATTTCACTTTTGCTTTTGAAACATATTTTTTCAGGAAAACATTTCTATGCTGACAGTGTTTTTGTTTTATTCAATACTTTAAAGTTGTTGCCCAGTGTTTTCTGGTTTGCATTGTTTCTGATGAGAAATCTGCTATCATCTCTTTGTTCCTCTATGTAATGCATCTTTGTTCATCTAGCTGCTTTGGATTTTTTTTTTTTAATGTATTCATTCTTTTAAGCATTTTTTATGATGCGCCTTAGTTTATTTGTCTTCGTGTTTCCTTTCGGGCTTTATTGAGTGTTATACACTGTAGGTCTATAGTTTTCATCCAATGTAAATTTTTTTCAGCTGTGATGTGTTTTCTGTCCCTTGCCCTCTCCTTTCAGAACCTCATTAACATATTTTGGGCTTCTTGAAGCTGTCCTACAGCTCACTGATGTGCTGTTCATTTTTATTTTTCACTCTCTTTTCCCCGTGATTCATTTTGGCTAGTTTACATTGCCAAATGTCTTAGTTATACAGTGCTGCTCGAACAGAAATACCATAAATGGGTGGTTTTAACGAACAGAAATTTGTTTTCTCACAGTTTAGAAGGTTAGAAGTAAAAATTCAGGGTGCCAGCTCTAGGGGAAAGCTTTCTCTATCTGTCCGCTCTGGAGGAAGGTCCTTATTTCTTCAGCTTGTTTCCTGGTTCCTCGGAGGTCTCCATGTGGCTTGACATCCATCTTCCCCTATCTCTGCTTCCCAGCTTGCTTGTATAGTCTCCTTCACATCTCAAGGAAACCCTGGTGGTGTAGTGGTTAAGATCTATGGCTGCTAGCCAAAAGGTTGGCAGTTCGAATCCACCAGTGCTTCTTGGAAACCATATAGGGCAGTTCTACTCTGTCCTATAGGGTTGGAAACAACTCAAGGTTAATGAGTTATATCTCAAAAGAGATTAACTCAAGACACACCCTGCACTAATCCTGCCTCATTAACACAACAAAGACAACCCATTCCCCAGTGAGATTATAGCCACAGGCATAGAGGTTAGGATTTACAAGACAATTTTTGGGGGGATACAATTCAGTCCATAACACCAAGGATTTAAGTTCACTAATCTTCTTCAATGCCTAAGGTGCTGTTAATTCCATTTAGTGTGTTTTCCTTCCCAGAAATTGTAGTTTTGTTTTGTTTTCTCTCTAGAAGTTTAATTTGGGTCTTTTCAATGTGTCGCATGTCTGTATGTAAAATGTTTCATCGTTCCTGGACTTCTTGAACATGTGGAGTACAATCACAGGAACTGTTTCAGTATTCTCAGCTGTGAATATTCTCATCTACACCATTTTTAGATACCTTTCAATTGATTGGTTTTTCTCCTCGTGGTCAGTCATATACGTTCCTGCTTCTTCATATGTCTGACTTTTTTTTATTGGATCTCAGACCTTGTGAATTTTACCTTGTTGGGTGCTGGGTGTTTTTTATCTTTTTATTTTTTTTTTGTTTGTCGTTGTGGTTTTATTTCTTTAAATATTCTTGAGCTTTGTCTGGAGTGAGGTTAAGTTACTTGGAAACAGTTTGATTTTGGAGGGTCTTGCTTTTCAGCTTCTTTCAGAGCAGCGATTAGGATTAATTTTTCCCATTACTGAGGTCAAATCCTTTTCAGTTCTGTACCTGGTGATGTCTCGCGGATTATGTGGTTCTCACTGTGCTGTTGGAAGCAGGCAGCATTCCCAGTCTTGCGTCAGCCCCAGACTGCTTGCGATAGTCTTTCAGAGTGGTCCAGCCCCAGGTCATTTCCTCATACTTGTGTGCTGGTGAGTGCTGCTAGGTCCTGAGAGGGACTGCAGATACCCCCAGCACTTCCCACCATCAACACTCCCCACCTCGCCGCTCCCCCTTTCTGCTCCCCCACTCAGCACGACTCCCCTCAGAGCTCCCCCTGTTCTGCTCCCCTCTCCTCATCCTCCGCTGTGACTGGGCCTGGAAACTCCCCCTGGCAGTGGCCTGGGGGCAGCTGCAGGGCTTCCATCATGATTTTTCATAGCCCAGAGATCACCGTTATCTGTCGCCAAATGCCCAGAGTCTATGGAACTGTTGCTTTTTTTCAGATATTTTAGTTGTTTTTCAAGGTGGGAGAGTAAATCCAGTCTTTGCCAGAAGTGGGAGTCTATTTTTATTTATTTTACGTTTAAAAATTCTTACATTTTAAGTGATCGTTTCAATATATATCGTGTCGTTGTTCTTAGGCACTGTAGAGTCAGCTTCAACTCACGGCGAGCCCCGCAAACAGAAGAACGTGTTGCCTTGTCCTGCACCATCCTCATGATCCTTGGGGTGCCCCAGTCCATTGTGGAGGCCACTGTGTATTCTGAGTAGCTTCCGACCTAGGGGGCTTATCTTCCAGCACTATATCAGACAATATTCTGTTGTGATCCGTAGGGTCTTCATTGGCTAATTGTCAGACGTAGATAACCAGACCTTTCTTCCTAGTTGGTCCTAGTCTGGAAGTTCTGCTGAAACATGTCCACCATGGGTGACCCTGCTGGTATTTGAAATACTAGTGGCATAACTTCCAACATCACAGCAACACACAAGCCACCACAGTGTGACCAACTGATAGACAGGTGCTGGATATATCACATTACACGACAGTTATTACAGTAATAATGATGTTTTATTAAATTTTATTCTTCATTCTAATGAGGCTAACTTAAAAATAACTTCTCAGTTAATGGAGAAGGACTCTGCTTAGAATAAACATTAACCAAATTCACCTTTAAAAGTGAATTACTTTTCAGTTTTCTTGACTATTCCCCAACACTGTCAACATTTATGTTTCCAAAATTATGTTTGTTCATAACTGTGGGAAGCCACTTCTCGTAAAGCTCACTGTGCCCCTACAGGCGGCACGGCCACGAGGCAGAGAGGCTTCCTGGGCTGCATCCGGTCACTGCAGCTCAACGGCCAGACGCTGGACCTCGAGGAAAGGGCCAAGGTCACGCCAGGCGTGGAGCCTGGCTGCCCGGGTCACTGCCGCACCTACGGACACCTGTGCCACAATGGGGGACGCTGCCAAGAGAGGCCCCGCGGGTTCTCCTGTGACTGTGAGCTGTCCGCATTCACCGGGCCCTTCTGCTCCAACGGTGAGTGCAAGGCTCTTAGCCAATGGGAACCAACTGCCTGTGTCAGACACCCAAAAACTGAACAAAACCCTTTGTGCGCAGCCATTTGAT